GCCGCTTGCGTGCGAGGGGTCTGTTGTGTGGACCGCCAAGAGACCTACTCGTACTTTTTCTCTCTTCTATGATTTACTACTAGTTATCAAGGTGCATGACGGAAGTCTGAAGACGAGCTAAACTCTATTTAATAATTGCACTTCCACCTCTTATGCCACCATTTGCATCAATTTCTTCAGGATCTTTGACAGTGGTGCAGTCTTTAGCGTACGATATCGCTGCAAGCAGTTACGCAACACTCGATTGTGGACTCAAACCATTACTCCCTGGTTTATCGGACTCGTACCTTCCTCATTATTTAGAGAGTTTCTCAGGATGGGGAACAGTTGCAAATCAGCTATAAAGACGGTTGTATCATATTCGCTCTAGCTTGTCTTTTCATTTACTTAGATATAGCAAACTTCAGTTAAAAAAAAAGTTGTATTCGCTTTAATAGCTTCACATTACTATAAATATGCAGGGTAATTAATAATAATCATAACAGTAACCCATGCTCTTTGGGATACAAAACAGAAGTGAGATGCTGTCATTGGCAACGGCGCATTGGTAGACTGATCACTATACATTTCTCTAGCTAGAGGGAAAAATTTTTTAGACGCTCTGACTTTTTACTATTCTACATGTTTGGGGGTAGCACAAGCCAGTATAGCATAAAGTTACTTTGACGTTGCCACAACGGTTGACGCATCAGTCCGCTTGCTTGACTACATTGCCAAGACTCGTCGGAAGTCGCAACTTCTTTGTTGTGCGTGTGTGTGTGTATGAATGTCGAAACGTGGATGTCGATCGATGCTAGCCGACGGCAAGGGTGGCTTTGTCGCCGCCATAAAAGGAATCCTGGCGACCACCTTCGGCCGAGTCCAACATCTGGAGTTTGGGTGTGCCAAGCCTGTCTATGGGTCTGAGCATTGGACCGGGATCTGAGGAGGACTCTGTTATCGTTGTTGTTGTTGGAGAAGGGAGGGAGCCCCGGTTAGGTCCTACGAGACAACGCCCTAGTCCTTGGTCCCCATGCACTACCCTTCAGCTTCTTCGATAGGTTGGCTGCTTGGTTGGTTGGTGTTTACGTCTCCTGCAGGGTAAGCTGCAGTTTGCGCCTATCCGCTCGCCTGCCTAACTGCATGCCAACTCAGTTTCGCTGACCACTGGCGGCTGGTGGTCAGTAGAAAAGGCTGAAGTAGGTCGGTCGCTCAACGTGTTTAGCGACCATGCAAACCTAGAATAAAGGCACTTTGCTGAACAACTCTTCGCATCCCACGCTGGTTTCTATCCTCACTTCGCATATAGCAGAAATCGTCAAACGAAGGCCCATAACAGCAAGCACGAGCCCTCTAAACCCCTGCAAGCGCTCATTTGAGCTACTGTGACCGCATTTTGCATTGGCCCCATCGAGCTGCTACCGTTGCCCCCATTATCGCAATTACCCCCGTACATATTCCTTTTCTCTACCCCAAACCATTCTGCCTGCTCATCCTATACCGGCAGCATGGTTGGCAGGCGGACATGCGAACGAACGAGGTAGCTTGCTTGAGAACGACCGTCGACTCTGGCAGCTACTGCCGACAGCAGCAGCAACTCGCTACTGCGCGGTGCAAAACGACAGGCGAAGTCCGAGACCACCGCCACACACCCCCAGCTATCCAGCCACATCGCACAAGCAGCTACCGGCTCCACCTTCCGCCTAGCCAAGTGGAATTTTGGTGCTGTAACGGCTGCCGGTGCTGCTGAAGCTTCCGCTGGGATGTTGGAAGGAGAAGCGCGCGGAAAGTGCGCGCGCCAGGGAGAGGTAGAGAGATAACATGCAAGAGCAGAAGAGAACCGACCGAGCCGAGAAGAACAGAGCAAAGAACACGCAGCGGCTCGGGTGGCCGTACCCATTGGTTAAAAGGAGAGCAAACGGGGAATGGAGGGGACAGGCAAGCAGAGCAGCCAGCCAGCTAGCGAAAAAAGGAGCAGACAAGCAGCTACGGCAGGAACGGGGACGACGAAGAAAACAACAACAACAACAACAACGCAGCGAAGGAACAATTGATGCCACTGGAGTAGCCGATAAGTAAAGTGGTAAGAAAAGGGAAAAAAAGACGCGTGCTATCGGGTAGTAGGCTACCGCCGCTGAACACACACAAACATACAGGCGGATGGCACTCGCAGGTAGCTGGAGATCCTGATGAAAGCTAGCAGAACAACTTGAACAGCTGCTACAGCTGTTGTAACACCTACATCTAACCAGCTATGATCGGGCCGATTGCATACGTTTGATCAAAGAGGGATCGAGAACCGCTAGAAGCAATTCGCAAATCAGCTAGCCGGAAACAACATTATATCGTATGATGCAGCTGTCTATGCCCTATGAATAGTTCTGTAGAGCATACATTCTGTTCTCTTTTAACCCATAGTGACAATTCCGTCTTTTCGTGCTGAAACGATCCCCGGCGCGTTTCGGCCGATGGGTTGCGTGTCTACTATACTATAAAGGAGAGAGAAGAGCATAGATCGACTGACCGCTAAATGCTATTGCTGTTTATTGCCTACAGTTTGTCCCTGATAAAATGCTTCGTTTGTGCAATCTAAATTTCTATATCTTCACTTGTAAAAAGTCGTTGTTTTGTTAAACTTTTTATTTTTTTCCACTATTCTTCTTCTCCACCACTATCACAGTTGCTATCGTTGTTTCACGATCATTTGTAGGCATCGATAACACGTTTGCGCATAAAATCATATGATATCTCGTCGTCGACTTGCGACTAATTTTGGCCAGTTATATGCTCAGCCGTAAGTGACCTAAAGTCGGTCATATTGCTATTACTGTTAACGAAGCTGCTTAAGCTCTATCGTTCTTAGTAAAAATTGTCGACCACGACCCAACTGCAATATTCTAAGTGCAACACCTTTGAGTGGTCTATACTTTGTCGAAAAAACAGCTAGAAATGGGTAGATGTTAAAGCTGACATCGAGTCATTGATTTCTTCATGTGCTAACGAAGAGCTTAGCGATTTATAGAACGATTACCTATCGTCAAGTTTTTTTTCCCATACTTGTTGTCTTTTTTTCCATACTTAAGACATCAAGTTGGTAGCCAATGCAACTTGTGAGATGCTGCATAAAATTTAGATTCGACGTTTTGTTCCCGTGATGGTACCTACTAGTAATATGGGCGCATGCCAGCTAGCTCTTCTGCTCGTTTGTATGGATGCTCTTCGAGAAAAAATACTTATGACATTTAATTGGATGTCTAGCCTAGCCCAGAGAATACTTAATAAATTGAGTCATCGTCACCGTCAACCTTGCTAGGCCACTTAGAAACCACTAAATACGAGCTAAAGGTTGTTATGTTTTATAGCAAGCAATTAATGTTCAGACATCTAATACGTGGACATGCAGATAGACGGCTAGACCGTAGAGAAAATGCTCCCTCAAAGAAAAGCCGAGACCTACTACAATGAAAGCAAGATAATAGCGCCAAAGAGGTATCAGTTCTTGGAAGGAACAATTTTTTTTGCCGATGCTAGCTGCTGTTATACTTGTTTTGCCTGTCTGCTCAGCCGGCGATCAGGCTGTCGTCTGTATTTGCGACCAGGATTCGCTCTAGATGACGATAGTGCTACTGGTAAATGCACCGTCCCGATCCTTGCGAAAAAGAGCGCGGCCTCACAAACGCTTTATGGCCAAAGCCACAGAGAACGCATAGATGTAGTTCACCGCGAGTGTGAATGAGTGAAGCAACAACGGTGGCCGATTGGAACGTTATGGGAAAGAAGATGTCCTGTCAGCTACGGAGCGGCGGAGTCGGCGTGCCAGTAGCTCTAGTTGCTAGAGCGCCCCCATGGTGAACTGACAGCATTACTTTAACAGAGGCTTCTACAACAACAACAACAACAACTGCTGCAGTCATTGCCATCACCCACAGTATCATCGTGACGTTGCCATAAGATGGCAAACCTTCAACACTAACCCGCTGCTCACAGTTACTTGTGGCAGTGATCGTATGGCAGTGTAGGTAACCAGCAATGCCAGAACCCCTGAATGACAGCCGGTCGGACTCGCGAAAGCGTACCACGTCACTGACTGGAACAGACCAGGCCGAGTTAAGCTTCCTGGCAGGCGGACTAGCAGTAGGATGGCGGCTGAAAGCAGGGCAGACAGGCGGGCGGTTAAGCAAGCCAGCAAACACACTGACTCGCTAAACAGGATGAAGCTGTTCGGGATGGAGAGAAGCTCGTCTAGCGAGCTAGCTAGCTGGTTGACTGGAGGTTGCCGCTCGACTGGCCCCTAGAGTCACTGGAGTTCCCTCAGCAGCCAGCCAGCCAGGGACCGGCCAGCCACCGACTGCTAGACAGGCAAGCAGCCATCCTGTACTTGGGCCAGCTTGAGTCGGTTGCTTCCGTCCAACCACTAGCAGTAGGCGGCGATGGTGGTAGTGGCTCCTGTGTGCGGCCTGCGACCTTCGGCCGAAACCAGCTTGGTCGTTCGGTTGTACTACTCTGGCTAACGGGTGGGTCTAAACGGGGGTCATGTGTATGGGTGTGTAGGCGTTTGGGGAGTGTAGGATCTGTGTGTTGACGGCAGCAGTAGTGGCGACTCGAAACAGGCGGCTGGCTTAGGCTGTGTCGTGCTGCAGTGGTGGTAGTAGGACCTAGGGAGCACCGAGGGAAGTGAGGGGGTAGTAGTAGTTGTAGTGGTAGTAATAGTAGTAGCGTGTGGGTGGAGACGGACGCAGCTAGCGAGAGGAGGAAAGAGGGGGGAAGGGCTTTAGATCCCGCGACAGATCCCATAGTGGATGGAGCCTTGCCTCAAGGAGGACTCGGCCGCTTTCCTAACTCGAAGCAAGACCCCGAAACGAAGAACGGAGGTCTTAGCCCCCGTCCCCTCTCAGTCCCCAACTGCCTTCCACTTCTCAGCTCAACCCGTTCCCCCTTTCCACCAGGCCAACAGCATTGGGCAATGCTCCCCAAGCAGAGGGCCTTCTACTCCTACTACGGAGCTTGTCTGCAGGACTCACCAGGTTGCCGGTGCGAGCAGCACGGTGAAGCAGGGACTCCTCCAGTTGTTCGGGAACTACGGTCACGGGTCCCGCTGCTGTGATCGGTGCTAGCTGCGAAGGTGAACTCTGCTGCAGTGGTAGGCTTGAGTTCGCAACCGAGGAGGTTGCGGCTGGCTCATCCCACTTCTGTAACACCTGCACGGCTCGCTTTTTAGGCTTTATGTTGGCAATTCCTGGGATACTGGAGGCGATACTGTTGATAGTCTGGCATGCTTCCTCGGGAATGTCAGGTGAAGCTAGTCTTCGTTTTTTCGGATGCAAACTAAACTTGAAATCTGAAATTGCACCAAGATAGGAACTATTAAGAAACCACTGGTAAAAGCGGATCTACTTTATTCTTTTTTGTCAGCTATTATTATTCACCCTAACAGGACACGTACGGCCATAAAGCTAAAGTCATCGCAGAGTTACACCTTTTTTAGTGACAATCCCGGATCACGTATATCTTATAGGCTGATAGTACAATTTCGGTGTCTGTCAACGATATTAGTTGCAACCCAACTACACGTCTTCATGCAGGTCGATACAAGTTGCGTGCTGTATTTAGTTTTTGCGTAAAAATTCTGAATTGCCATATGTATATGTACTGGGTCTGGTGTAAATCGACCCTTGCCAAGATAAACGTTTATATCGTTGAACTGAAGATAATTAGCACAGGTTCGAAAAAGATGATGATTGGTATAGAAAAAAGAACGTAAACAAAGTCCATTGAAGGCTCACGCACTGGTCATGGTGGACCCCCTCGTATTTTGCCAATAGTCGTGGCGGTGGTGGTGAGGGTGGTTTTTGCTACGTGGTGATATTTATGGCAATGCTACTATGCAGAAGGGAGGTTTATTGTTGTTGTAATAAAGATTTCATAATAATAACGTGTCAGCTGCTAGCCGACGACAACCAACGATGTTTCTCGGTCTCGCAGTGTTCTGATATCGATGCACATCGCTAAGCCCTCCCTGATTCCCGTTCGCTCTGAGTGCGGAGTACCGGTGCTCTTCCCCTGTTAGATGCTTCGGTGGCTGCCCGCTCGATGGTTCCACGGCGGGCGTTCTGTCAATCCTGTCTCGTGTCTCAGCTTTCGTCTTCGCTTCCGTCGAGCGACTGCCCTGACTTGAGCTGCCGCTTTGCAAGACCCCAATCGTTGCTTTTCCCTCTGCTGCCTCAGCCATCCTTAGTCCCTTTTGGCTTGTGTCCCCTATCCCATTACTCCCTCCATCCCCTTCACCATCTAACCCCAATGCCGCTTTGTCGCGGCTTCTCCATCCCACTCGCCAGCCGGCCTACTTGCCTGTCTGTCTCGCTGCCTTCACAGTGCCCCATCGCATCACCCCTCCAATCGGCAAGGCAACAGTGATGGCTGAAACAGCAGCAGCAGGAAAGCAGAGACTTCGCTAGCTCGGTTCGTCTTTGCATCGCGACTTGACTCTCCTTGCTGCCCCCGACGTTCCCTCTCCCCCCCGGTAGCTCAGTCGCATGCCCGTCGGCCTGCCCGCTCGCTGCTCGACTCGTCTGTTTTGCTGCTCGCTGCCTCGTTCGCCTGTCGTTTGCTCGCTCGCTCACATACTAGCCACCCCAGCTCCGTTGCAGCCGCCGCAGCTACTACTACCGCCACCGTTGCCGCCGATATCACTTTGTGCACACTCATTGGCTACAGCCAAGCACCTAGCTTGGTTGCTCGCTCGTCGCTATTCGGCTTCCTCGCTGCACACGGCGCTGGGTTTCTCCCGCTGTCTGTTCTGTTGAGATCCTCTTGCACAGCTCTGGCTCTCTTCCCCGACACCACCCATCGACACCCCCTGCCCAATAAGGACGCATGCTGGTAGTGGTGGTGACGGCGACAGCAGCGGTGCTTTGCTGCTACGGGCGCGGAACCTCTCTCAGCCACCCACCTCGATTGCGCCGATTCTACTGCTGAAACTGCTGCTACTGCCGCCATTCCCCCAGCAACAGCAACAGCAGACAAGTAAGCAAGTAACCTCCTCTCGCTCGTCCGAACGCCGCCCGTCCACCCGCATCACAGACAGAAAGACACCCGCCCGCCCGCTTTGCGCGTATAGCGTTTGCTTTGCTGTTGCTCCGTGGTGGTTGCCTGCTGCCGCCGCCGGCCTCACCATTACTGCTGCTTTATGACACCGGAGCAGGGACTCAGTTTCTCGTAGCCCTTATTCGATACTCCAGCAAGAAGTTGCTGTTACAACCACGCGTGTGGCTTGGGGCTGCTAGTCTCCAGAGAGAACGAGCGCAGCGTCACAATGGCAAACGGGCAAGTTAGGAGGACGAGGAAGCTCGCAGTCGACAAGCGCTCGCCGAGCAGACAGGCAGACGAGCTGGCTTCTGCGAAAAATGGGACGACAAGGTGGGGGATCGTCGTCATCGGTCGCTTGCTCGGTCTCTCGATCGCTCGGCAGAGGGTAGGAGGCCGCCGTTGGGACAGGGGTGGGCGGTTCCGTCAAATTATTCGCCTATCTCACCGCCGCCGCCGCCGCCCCCGCCGTCCGCCTGTTACCTCGCTCGGCGCTGCTGCTTGGTTCGCCGCCTGTGTCTCTGCGCCCTTTCTCTCGCTTTCTCCCATCTTTCTCCGCGTCTGTATTTCTCTCTTCTATTCGCTCGGTCCCGCTGGCTGCTTCTCTGGCTCGCCAAAACGGACGGCTCAGGCTTGAGCAGGGTTTCCACGCTCTGCAGACGGGCCGGAGGCTGCTGCTGGTGTCGGAAAGACGAGGACGAGGGATGAAGGGCGAAGCAAGGCAAAGAAAGGATGATGATGCTGGTGGTGGGATGAGACCAGGCCAGCCAGCGGAGTGTCAGGAGCCAACCAGGGCAACGGGGTGCGGGTACTGTGCGCAGTGGGAGGGATCAATGACAAGCCCGCGGAGCAGTCCTAGTGGAGACACAGGAACAACCCGAACCAGTTTCTTTTCACACACGCACACATACGCAGCGCACGGTTGCACACACGCACAGCCACCCAATAGTCGGACAGTCCGTCGGGTCCTGCCTGGTGATGCTGGGAAACAGTATGCGAGTAAAGCTAGAAAGTCCACCATACGCTATCATTTTTGAAGCATGCCCAAAAGCTTTCTGGGAGCCTCCCTGTGGTCTTAATCGAACCTATATGGCATGCCGCTTGGACCTAAGGACTAAGTCCTTGTTCTCTTTTACCCTGTATCATCCGGCACCCCATCAGTCTTGATTTTCTTGCCCCTTTCTGTGTCGGTCAGTCGGTCCGCTCAAGAAAAAGACGATCGATTGACTTCACTACTGCCCTGTTCGCCGGTACAGCCGCCTGCTATACCGCTTCTGCCCATTCCGTAAGCTTTTAGTCTGGCTGCTAGGCGCGCCTGTTTCTTTACTTTTACGCCGAACGTGCCTACCTATGTTCTACAGTAGGTTCATATAATGCTGTTTATGCTGCGACATCGGTATCGGCAGTTGCTACCCGGCCTAATCTAAGGACCATGGCGACCAGAAGCACACGTTGTGGGTTAGGCTATAGAGTCTCCGCGTCATGTCCGTGTACCGGCGCTGATAGAAGCAATGGAGGGATGGGCGCTCCGCCTGACTTACTTCTACTCAGTCACTAGAGGAGAATTTTGGCCCAGGGAGAGTACTTTGTACGCTACTGGTGTTCCTGCTGATGCGCAGTCGTGTAGAGTATTGTCTGTTGACAGATGCGCGACCAGCAGGGCGTTAAGTGCACTCATGGGGACAAGTTCCCGCCGGTCGCCCTCTATCCGCCCTTCCTTTCTCAATGACCCAGCGCGGCTGCCGTATCCACCCCGAGACGCGTCAACGATCGGTCAGTCAGTCATATGGCCAGTCACATCGTTTCCCCCTTATTCACCTTACCCCCCTCCCCCTTCCCCTCAAAGTTCACTCTGATTTCGGCGCGACGCTATCTCTCTGTTGAACCTACCACCAAGATTAACCCGCCATATATATATATATATATAGTGTATATGTCAGTTACCCAGTTAGCGAGAGTTTTGTTGTCGATCCGCAAGCATCACTAGTGGGACCGCGAATCGTACACGCCGATCCGATCTGGCATCTGTCTATAAGTAGTAGTCATAATGAAAGGGAAGGATCTGAGTGCCGCTGATTAGGGTGTCCCGTGATCAACTAAATTTAGTCTTGTTCATATAAGAAGCGCTTATCTGTACATTTACATTAAGTAATAAATGATTATTGGTATTCCTGTATCTGTGTTTGTGTATGAAGGATGTGAATGTGTGTGTGTGTGTGTTCCATATGAAAGTGGGTGTATTAGAATACGCTCGCGACAAAAATTGTTGAACTTGAGATGGACAAAATGATTGCGTTGCACTCCAAAAAACTATACCATCTGTGAGTAGTGCAAATGTAGCGTCCTAATTCATGATGTGGGCAACGCGAATGCTCTCCGATGATGTTCGCCCACTCTCTCCGGACTCGCCGCTAGCCCTAACACATGTCCACCTCGTCATCATGGTCCGTTACTTCTGCCGCTGCTTTCCGGGCGCAGCAGCGAACTTAAGTGTGTGGGTGGCTGCGTGTGTGTATTTCGACAGCGGCGATGGTCGAAAAGACAGCAATTGTATAGCAAGGTTGATGAAACATTTAACGGCTAGAAACGTTGCTGCTATTGAGCCAGTCATCGTGCAATGCCTACGACCGACTCGATCAGCACCTTTGGTGCACCACTCCTTCTCCTTCTCCTCCTCCTCCTCCCCTCCTCCTCCTCCTCCCCCCTTCCTCCTAAATTATTCCAGTGCGCGGTCGTCACTTTAAAGATGCGGCTCTGTTCAGTTGTCTAATAGTTCTAGCGCCATAGCGTAGAAGTGATTTAGCTATTGTGAAGCGAACGTAAGTTCAGTACGTACCTTTAGCCTCCTCATCCTTAGTTGCGCTGCACTCACCGGCGCCTGTGACTGCCTGAAAGGAAGAAAAAACCGAAGGCACCCCTTGAGTAACGCCTGAAACCTGTCTAATAGCCTGGCACCAGTTCTTTAATGTGGAACCAGTGACAAACGGCCAAATTGTTGACACATGCCTTTACAGCCAATGTTCGACTTGTCGGCATGCATCGCATATGCCTCAACCTCTTTTTAGATTTTTCAGCCGTCTCTAGAACCGTCCTACTTCCCGCAGCTTAATGCAGTCTATAAAAATACTTAAGATAGTCTCTCATAGGTGAAAATGAAATTATAAGAAGCGGATGATTTCGTTTTTGTATTGGACTCGTTGGTCTTTTACAGGCAGCCATCGGTGCGCATTTTCTGGGTTTTTAATTCGTCCGCCTACGGTCTTCGCTGACCGCTCTTTACTCTGCTTATTCTTTAAGGATTTGCACAGGTACGAGACAGGACGCCTCTTTGTTTTTCTCGCTCTCTTATTGCCGTTCTATCTGGATATGCCATTAACAATCCTTCTCTCTTCTAGTGCCTAGGACAGTAGTATTTCATGCAAGCGAGACTTGCCTCAATCGCCGCCTCATTCTTCTCGCGCATTCTGAGCCATGGTAATTTAGCTCGTTTGGGGGGTGGCGATGGCGGGGGTCAAGGGTATTGGAGAACGGAGAAAGGGGCCATCGTAGTCCCGTTCCGTCACCCTTGGAGGCCCGTCGGCGTCATCTCACCGCAGAGTGAGAGCAGCTCAATGGGGAAATCCTCCGGCCATCGCGCTGTCCCAAATATATCATGGCGAGCCGCGCGCGACCGATCGTCAGACCACTATCGCCGCCACCTCCATTCGGCGACTTCATAAAAAAAGGCATGATGAGTCAGCTGTGTGGCGACCAGGAGCAGCAGACAAGGCACCAACACCAGTAGTCGAAGGCAGCCTGTATCGCACCATACTATAGCACTGCCTTTGCCGCCCGTTTTACCACTGCCACAACCGCTACTAACGCCATACAGAAAGCAGGCCAAAGCGTCGCAAGGCAACGGCGGTTGGCAGCGGTGCCGCCGTCGGTTCGTTTGTTCGCAGCACTCACTACTATCGCCACGCCACTCCCGTTACCGCCACCGAGGCCGCTAGCTCTCGGCGGCCCTTATTCCCCTGCCCTACATCTTCTCTTCTTCTTCTTCTTCTTTTTCTCCGCGCTTCGCTCTGCTCTGAGCTTGCTTTGCCATCGCCTGCTTTGGCTCTCCGAAAAGGAAACGAACAGGCGCGCCGGCGTTACACCCTCCCCTCCCTTCCCCTCCCCTCCCCTTCCTACCCCTTCCCGATCCACACTACACAGAGCAGAGCAAGTCCTTTCTGCAGTGGCAGTAGCAGTAGAAGCAGCCGCCGCGTAAACGCCCTCATCCCTAAGAGGAAAGGAACTGAGAGAAGCAACGGTGGAGGGGGTAGTTGAAGGCGGGTCGGGAGCTCGGTTGGGTGGCTTGCACTGGGGTAAATCGACAAACCGCCGAGACACTTGAGGTTGGCGGAGTAGCCCGCAGCAGCCCACTTTGCCTGTTCCTGCGGTGTGCTGCCACTGCTGCTGTGGGAGCCCACCCGCGTGGAGTTCCCGTTTCCCCATCGTCGTTGTCGTTCTCCTTTTACTCCTGCTCACCCCCTTACACTGCTGCTATCCCCCTCCATACTCGGCCCTTTCACCCAGCTTACACGGCCACGCCATCGCCATCGTGCACTGCACAACGTAGTAGCATCGAGACCAGAAACTGACGGCAAAGAAGCAGCACAACTCCCCATCTGCCTGTTCACAGTCGCCATTCTCCATTGCATCGTTGTGCCGTTTCTACCGCCGCCTGCTTGCTCACCCGGCGCCCTGACAGCCGCGGCCTGCAGGCAGCGAATAGCCAACCACTACTCTATCCCCCCTCCCCGCGCTTCGTCCCGTTAGCCTGTCGTCCCCGCATCGCTTCTCCGTTTGCAGCTGCAGAGGCAACCCGCACTACCACCCCCCGCCGGCACGAACAACCGCGGCCGTTGCCGCCGCAGCCTCGTCCGCCGCCGCCGCCGTTACCACCACGACCACCGCCACCAGTAGTGCGACTGTCAGCGGCGGCGGTTGCGGCCGTCGCCGCTCCTGCGGCATCGACACTGGCATTCCAAGTGGAGGCGCTGCGAGACGCGCAAGCGGTACTCAGAGGGAAAGGAACGAGGAACAACATAGGGCTGGACCATCACTTCTACTACTTCTACCAGGACCATTGCGGCCGCTACTGCTGTTACCGTTATTCCGCACGCAACGCAGGGCGATGGCACGGCAGGCCGATGGCAGTCTGCCTAGCTGGCTCGCTGTCTGCTCGTCAGCCTGGTTGCTTTGCTGCGACTCAAGGCGGCGCGAAAGCGAGCAACCAAGGAAAGGAGAAGCAGGCCGATGGACCAGTCGCTCGCTCGGGGCGAGCGAAGTGCGAGAGGGCGAGGAACGAGCGGGGGAGCAACGGGTGAGCAACGCTGATTGCGAACAGCAGCCGGAGAGCCGCCACCGTCGACCTGCGAGACGACCAAGCTGGGGGCCATCGTCGGAGTGGTGCTGCTGCTGCTTTCTGCCAGCCACTAGCGGCCCTTCTGCCGTCGAGTAGAAAGAAGGGATCGCTTTCTACAGCTGTCTTTGCCCCTCACGCGCAGTCTGCTGCTGCTGCTGCGACGGTGGAGGGGCTGGTAGTAGTAGCGATGGCGAGTAGGAGAGCTCAAGTATGCGCTACCAGCGAACCAGTAGCAGCCGCAGAAGTGGCGACGGCGATGGCGGTGGTAGTAAGGTGAGGAAATGTACGTACCGTCGTTGAATCGTCGGGCTTGCTGAGAGCTTCGATGTTGAACGGCGTTTTCTTGGGCTTGCTTGGCTTGGTTGGCGTGGGGCAGCCAACGTCGTCCTTCCACGGCTGAAAGGTTTTTTCAGTTTTAGCAGGGGCTTTTGGTGCAGCCGCTGCCAGTTGTGCCTGTACCTGAGGCACCGGCTTCTGAGGTGACGATTGTGATACGTGCGGTTTGATGGTCGACCCCTGCGCAATACAACATCAGCAATGTCAGTAATAGTAATAATAACAGAAATATCGATAACAAAGGTCGTACTTGTTATTTGATCGAATAGCAGATGTGTGTTCGTTTGCTTGCCCTTCCTTACGACATAACAAATCATATTCGTTTCTTCTGTAAAAATGGTTATTATCTCCATGAGACTCACTTCTACGACGAAAGAGCTATTGTACAGCAAGAAGAAAGAATGATATATGAATGCGTTACCTTCAGAGACAACAACTTTGTTTGACTCGACTGATCTCCTAATGGATCATACGCAACAACAATAATAATCATCGTCACCTGCACTGTCGCTGCTACCGCCGTAATCAATAGTAGCACGGAAGTTGAAAATGCGACTAAGAGGAGCTTAAAACAAAAGCGAAGTCGTAAGTGCACACCTCATCGTTGCGGGGTAGCGCCGGCTCAAAGTTCCTCGTAGACCACAAATCCCCCAGTGGGTAGACGGATGGTACGAACGGGTTGCTAGTGTTGGTAAGAGCACCAGTCTGTGTCGACGGGGGCACTGCTGCCGCCGCAGCGGCCGCTGCCGCCGCCGCCGCCGCAGCGGCTGTTGCAGCCGTTACTCCCGGTACTCCAGCAGCCCCTGCAAGAGCTGCCTGTAGGCTCCTTGCTCGAAATACGGCGACAGGGTCGACGAGCGCGTGGCAGGAGAACATGAGCGCTGCCAGCTGCTTCTGCTGCTCGAGGAAAGCACTGCTTGTAGCGCTACCGTCACTGCCGCCACTGCTACAGCTAGTGGTAGTAGTAATGCTGCTGCTACTGTTGATGTTGGTGCTGCTGATGCTACCAGCTGCTGCTGCACCGGCCGCTACAGCCGTTACCGGCTGCTGGTTTAGTCCCAAAGGAGCTGTCTTGCTGCTGCAACTGCTGCTGTCAAAAGTTGAAGCCTTTAGCTCGGTAGCGGAGCCAGCGAGACCAGGCGCCCATTCGGGAAACGCAGAGCCGAGCATCGATGCAGCTAAAGCGCGTTGGTGGTCCAGCAGGTCCCGAGCTGCTGTCATTGGGCAGGACAGTGCGCCCAGCGGAGGCACTGCTAGAGGAGGAGTCTTCGACGATAAATCGAGCGGGAATGTAGATGCGCCTTCGGTAGGCCGTGCCGGTGACCGGGTTGCCCCAGCATTTCCCAGCGCGGCAAAAGGAGAGGCAAACGAATAATACATTCTCACGTATTATTATTGTTATTACTGTGGTTACCAAAAGAAGACAAGAATCTGCGTTCGTTCTTCCTCTACTCGTTTGCTCTTTCACTCCTTCGGTTTGAGGCTTTAGCAGGCCACTGCTGCTACTGCCGCCACCGATGACGCTGATGCTCACTACTATAGAGGAGCCACCCTTGTAGTTTTACTGTCTAATTATTGTTTCCTGAAAAAAAAAACAGCAACGTTTTGTTAGAAAGTCGCAATTTTTCCAGCGAATAATGACAAAGAGTCGTCGTCGTATACTCTACTTATTATCGTCTTCTAAGACAACATTCTACGAAACAACATTCAACGAAATCCAAAGCGGATGGATGCGGCGACGTTTACAATCGGGCTGGCTCTGTCTTTGCCCTATGTGCATCGGTACTCATTTGTCTGTTTTGTTTTGTCTCCCTATTCAACCATCTAAAATTTCCTTAGAGCAGCTAGCAGCCAGCCATTAGTATGTGATCATCGCCAAGGGCAACGGATAGCCGTTGCCGAAGCGAAAAGCTTAGCCGTTTTAACCTGTGGCTGCGAAGTGTCCTTTCCCGCTTGGTTAGGTAAACCACCGCCAGGACACCGTGTCTACGATACATTTATCACAGTGTTACCGGTTATGTCGAGTTGCCAGGCAATATCCATCGTCATCCGATCGGACAATAGCTAAGTATAGGCTACTTATTATATGGTGCATGTTAGAACGCTCGTTGTTGTGATGTAATCAGTATTTGTTGTTACTGCCATGTCCGGCATCAATTTGCTGCGAAGTTGGCGAGGATGATCAATTTACGATTTATTTTGATTCTTTCGGATAGGGAGTTCCGACAACTCAAACCTGCACCTATTTTTGCCAACTTTCATTCGAAACATATAGTCTCTACAAAGACATACAATTTCCTAACCCTATCACTTTCGGTTTCACACTCAAGCTTCCCTCGTTGGTCATTGGCGTCATCACCCAAGTCAACTCAGATTAGTAACAGCGGTTTACTCGTACAACTCAGCAGTGAGCCGTCTGTCGCGCGCTCTCCAGCGCATCGAATCAACCGAATGAAAGCCCAACCG